TGTGCTCTCCGGGCTCCGGCCTCTGTCGCTCTCGATTCCCTACCCTACACGGTTTCTTTCAAGATTTGGAGAGTTACGGGACCGCGCCAGCGTCGGAGACTTCATTCGTCGCTGCCTTCGGTTCCCCGCCAGCCCCCGATCCCGGGGTCCCGCACCTGCGATCCGGGCTCCGGCCTCTGTCGCTCTCGATTCCCTACCCTACACGGTTTCTTTCAAGATTTGGAGAGTTACGGGACCGCGCCAGCGTCGGAGACTTCATTCGTCGCTGCCTTCGGTTCCCCGCCAGCCCCCAGGATCCCGGGACTCACCACTGCTCAGCTCGTAGCCAAAGAGGGGACTGGTGCCCAGCGCGGGCCCGGCGGCGGCGACCACGCAGTTCCATCGCTCGTGCTTGAACTGGCTCCTGCACTCCTGGATGCCCAGCCGGGCGCCCTCGCGGATGCTGGGCAGCAGGTACGGTTTCCTCTTGCACAGCTCCTTCTGGCGGCTGTTCAACGGCAAGTTGGTGCAACCCAGCTTTTCCGGAACCCCAAAGGAGGCGATGCCCAACCACCTGTAACACACGGCCGCCCCTAGTGTAAGCCGCTCTCCCGCTCTCCTCCCCAATCCCAGCTGTTTCCCCGAAAGTTAGGTCACTCGTCCGAGGGTCTCCGCCCCTGCTCTCAGTCGGAGGTCCGCGGAGCTGGGGCATCCCTTTCTCCACACACCCCACGTACCTCTTGCAGACCCCGTACTCACATCCAGTTTCCTTGGGTTCCGCAGGGGAACAGCGCGAGCAGGGCCGCCCACAGCGCGCACAGGCGGGGCAGGGCCAGGACCGCCGCTCTGTCCATGGCCCCGCATGGAGTCCCCAGCCCCGGCCGCTCCTCTCCGGCCCGACCTCTCCGGAGGCCCGCAGCGCTGGAGGTCAGCTCCCCAGCACCAAGTTGTCCCTCGCCTCTTTCTCCTGGCAGACAGCATAAAAGGAAGACCACCAATGATAGTGGCTCTCAGCACTCCCCCACCAAATGTGACGAGGTGGAAGGAATGGCTTGGGGCCCTCCCCCTGCGCGGAGGTGGAGCTGTGCTGGAGGTGCAGAAGCGTCCCTAGCTTTCCAAGGTGAGAAACTTCTGCTGACGTCTGGGAGTCTCCATCGCCCCCGGCTCCTCGTATCTCCACCCCCGTGACAGCGCCTGGCGGCTGATTGGCCCAGCGGCGCATCTCATCGTCCCGAAACTTCACTCTCCCATTGGCTGTGAGTGGACTCTGCCGGGGGGCGCGGCGGCCCGCGCCTCCTCTACTGCCAGTTCAGACAAGGGGGAGGGGGTCATGACCTTTCCTCCTGTCAAAGACTCCTTGGAGCAGGTCGCTCCGGGGTGGATTGAACCCAAGGACTGGTAGTGGAACCTCTTGTCTTAGCAACCCTGGGTGTAAACAAGGGTTTCATGGGAGACGGTTCGGTTACATCCACCGCAGCCTCATCTGGATTACTCTCTGGATGGAGAGGATGGAAAATCTGTCCCCTCTCTTTTTTGTGTCAGGGTTGGTACCAAGCAAATTGACCTTCCAACCTGCTGGCGGCCTCATGCATGAGGAGCCTTTATAGAGTGGATGAGGTGGGTCAGATTTAAGCTCATCATCGTCATTTATTATGCATTTGTTTTTAGGGGTCCCAGCGTGCCATTTGATCTATAGTATTTCAAGTGTGCTCATGATCCCCCCACCCAGTTTGTCTTATTTCCTGAAGTCGTTGAAAGCACTATCTGTCCCACTCAAAAATGGGGGCCGCAGAACTGAGTGAGAGAGCTATGGGGAGAGTTCCAGAATAGGTGAAGATTGTGTTCTTACTCTTCTCTCCAGGCCTGCACTGGCTCCGAGGAAGACCTTGGGTGGGGCTACACCCTGAAATCCACCATCCCAGCAACCGTCTTAAACACCTACTTTGTGCCCAGTCCTGTGGGAACTTAGAAAGACAAACTCCCCTCAAGTGTACAACCCAGCCATATGCAGAGAAGTCGAAAACAAAATAATTGGAACTTATCAGTAATAATAACTGAGCATCTGCAAGCTAGCAAAGTACTCTGGGGCCAGAGGTACTTTAGAAACAGGAAATGTCCTAGCAGCTGATAGTTTTGTAAGATGAGTCAGGGTTTTGTAGGATGGAAGGTTTCTGGGAGAGCTCTGAATGAGACTGGAAAATGACCTACTTAGACATAAGAAATGTTTCTGCAAAGCACACCTGCCCCCCATCCCAGATTTCTGAAATGCTAGGAAACACTTGTGGTGGCCATATCAAATCAGTGGATGCCCCAAATCAGATTCACACACATACAGACTTTTCTAATATTTGCTTTATATTTCCCACATCCACCCACAGCAATAGAAGCTCACAGAAATTCCCATTCTGTCCCATTCACTCCTTTATCCAAAAAATATTTAGTGAGTGTACACTATGTACCAGGTCCTAAAGCCACATTGTAATTTTTGCAAAGTCAAGTTGATGATAGGGTATAGTTACTGATCCAGAAATATTTTTGGCTAATGGCTAGTGGCCTCTCTGAAAATCAGAGCCTTCATCTAAGCTCACTTTATTTTGTGAGCTTCTCCAAAAGGCACTATGGTATATTCATTGCTGTATCACTGCCATTGGGCCCAGTGCATGAGATCCTGTTTGAAGCACTACTTATTGAGCGGATTAACATGCTGAGGAACATCCTGAGCAGATGCCCATGTGGCCTAAATGCTGGAACTGGAGAAGTTTCTTTCTCGTATGGGGAATTGGAGGGGTGCAATCTTGGGATTAGGGGGAGTGTGCGAACTACAGTCCCTGAGGATGATTTGAGGGCAAAAATAGCAAACGTTTTAAAGCAACTGTTTAATTTTTTATTCAAAAATACATATCGAGCTTTGGTTATAGATTAAAAAATGAAGAGCACTGAGCATGGTTGAAGAGTTTATAGTTTACTTGGCAGGACACACAAGTGAACATGCAATGACAGTACAATGTAATACATATGAAAAGGACAGGCTGCTGTGAACACACGTAGAAAGATTATTTAATCCAGTCTTGGAAGAAGGAGGAAAGGTCATTTGAAATTTTCCTTCATTATTTTTGGGATGAAGCACTGTCCTGGCATCAAGCAAAAGTTTTGAAAGAACACTCAGAGCACTCTATTCTTAGAGTCCAGCAGCACTAAGTCAAACATTTTCAAATCCAAGCCCTGTACCTGTTTTATGTAGTCTAGGACCTTAGAGGTCATTCTTTCTATACTTCTAAAGCAAAGCAAACAAGTTTTCAGAGTGGCTTCTGCTGAACAAGTAGGTTTTTCATTCAATAAACAGCCCCTTGAGTGCCTGTCAGACGTCATCAACTTCATACACATCGAGCCTGTTATATACCCCAGGTCCTCTCTTACTCTTGCTCTCTCTCCGTACACAGAATTCTAACCCTTCTCCCAACAACTGATGCTGATGTTACGGATGAAGGAATTCATATTTCAGCTAGCAAGCAAAAGAGCTAAAACTCAATCTTGCTTTGGAAGCCCTGTTCTGTCCACATACTGCTACATAACTTAATCAAAACCACTACTTATTTTTTTTTCTGACCAAATCCCACATCACTGGACCCTGTGGATGAAACTTCTCATCTGTGTTTCAAAGTTCTTTCACCGCTATCTCCATTGAAAAAGATCCTGTTTTATGAAAATAAACAACACTCCCAACGGGTGGTTTCCTGAATTTTTTGGATCTCTCTGAGGCAGGTGGCAGCCTGCACGGATGCTTTTCATTTTCCCTGTTTTTGCTGTGTGTGTGTGTGTGTGTGTGTGTGTGTGTGTGTGTGTTTTGGGTTGGGAGGAACTGAAGAAAGAGCATTGTGTACAGTTCTGTGGAGTCCTAGTCAGCAGCTGATAACTTTAAATCGCTCGTTTCAACTTTGTGCTTCAGTTTTCTCACCTGTAAAATTGTCAGAAGCCCTCTTTCAGATCTGAATCTCTCAGTGAGCACTGAAGGCCAAAGAGACGTGCATGTGCTTTCATGGAGATGGGGATTGGAACTGAGAAAAGGGACACTGCATTTGCTAAAGGGTTGCGGAGAGGGGTTGCCCTGGCCACCCACAGCTACCTGGGAGATGAAACCTACCCTCAAGGGGTCATAGACAGGTTTAGTCTTAGTATTTTTATTTTGTATCCTCAGCTTCACATTTGCTTCTGGATTTCAGTGAAAATGAATTGTGTTAATCGAAGATATCTCTAGATGGTCAAGTTATAACACATAATCTTATGGAATTTTATTTGGAGAATAAAATCACAAGTACTTTAATTATCCTGGAATAGGAAAATGAGGTGCTTTTTCACAATCTGATTTATATCAATGTGAAGCAGTCTTTCTCCACTGTCATTAGTAAGCTTTATGCTCTTAGACTTGTGGAATAAAGTAAAACATGGGTAAAATCTAAATGTAAATCTACAAATTTCAAATCATTTATCTCTTTAGCCACAAGCAGGGGCTTCAATTCCTATTTAAAAGTTTTGATTGTTTGATTTGTGAGGAGGACAAAATATTAGACCAATAGGCTATAACTTGATGCTTAATTGTACTATTCAAGTTTTCTAAATTTTGGATCCTCAGTAACACAAGACCAGAGGTCCATAAAATATTTTAAAGACCATGTCATTAGTCCTTCAAGAAATGAGAGCCAGGGGCTGGGGATTTAGCTCAGTGTTTCTTCTGCCTGCTTCACAAGAGCAAGGTCCCAAGTTTGATCCCCGGTACAAAAAAAAAAAGGAATGAGAGCCAATATTGTATCATCTCACCATCTGAACTCAGCTATCCAAAATTCGACTAATGCTGTTAAGAACAGCACAATGTGATTTCAAATTTGCATAGGTCTCTGAAGCATCTGTAAATTCACATGGAGTACACATACTGATTTCACATGAAGTGCATATACTTGAACTTGTTTTCCTAGCAGGGAGGAAGGTGCTTTGGACTAACCAATGTCAAGAGGATATAGGAATGGAAGAACCAGGTTTTGAGCATATTCATTTCATTCAAGGAGCTCTCCCCAGAGTCTGAGTCTGTTCTGCAACTGCGGCCATCTCTGACCAGCTTAGGAAACAAAGCCAGTTAAGTAGCTGGCCACCAAAAAATCTCACCTTCCACCCCAGACAGTTGTATATCACTAATGTAAAAGCCAGTAAATCCCATTCCTTCTGTTATTTTTCTCTCAGGCCCTGGGAAACTTAGCAAAAAGTCTGCCTGCACAGATATGCCTTGGACTCTGCCTCTGGCAGCCCATCAGAGGACGAGACTTCTAACGGCCCTGTTGTAAGAATTTCTGTTGCAGATCACAGAGACTTATGCACTGGAAACTGACACCAGCAGCACCCCAGCTGGTCTTAACTCCCACGGTAGAACAGAGGACCAGAGGTGACTTTTTACATAACTGGATCCCCATCCATTCTATTTTAAATTCCACCTGGATGCGGCAAGTGTGGGACAGAACACAGGCTTGTGACCACTGGCTCTCAGCGGGGTGAAGAATGGCATTCTGCATGCCCTGCTGTCCTCTGAAGGCCTGAGGCAAGCTGAGGGAACGACAGACTCAGGGTTACAGAGGAGACACCATTGATAGTCTCAGGAGAAAGCAGGAGTTGCAAACATTGGATGACGTCTTGCTGTTTAAATTTCCACAGGTAGAGAATTTTTTTCTTATCCTAGAATTTAAGGTTGAAGAAGCCTCATAAAATGTTAATAAAGTGGCTTATCTCTTGAACAACATCTCCCTGCCAGCCTGCTTTAAAAAAGTAAAAATTTAAAAAATTACCCTGAGATCTGGAAAAACAAAGTTGCTCATCTTAAACTTTATTTATAGGCACCATGCAATCTTTTTGGAATGAGGAAACAAAAGTAACACCAATGGTTGCAGAATGAGCACTATTGTCCAGAGGACAGAGGTAAACAAAACACAAAACTAAAATACACAACAAGATGGAGTCTTTGAATGCCTCTTTGAACAAAATCTTCTTAACTTTTCAAAATAAAGCAACTTCATCAATTAGTGAATGGCTACAAATTTTAATAAGGTACTAAGAAAACAACTTCAAAATCCTGGAATTTACATTTTTAGAGTACTAAATACAGAGTAATCCCTGAACCACCTACAAGAGAAAA